AAAAAAAGTAAAGACATTAGAATTAAGCAGTATTGAGAAAGAAGTAGAATTTGTTTTAGCTGGTACTTAATGGAAGCCAGGAAGTGGAGGTGGAGGCTGAGGCAGAGGCAGAGATGAAGAAGGAAAGCATTCCAGGCATGAGAGACAGCCAGTGAAAATTCCTGGAGTCTGGAGTGTCTTGTTCAAGGAGCAACACGGAGGTCAGTTTCACTGCATAGAGGAATATATGAGGATGAAGGAGGGGAGAAGGTATGGCAAGGTTTATATGAAGAGTAGATTATGAAGGGGTTTGAATGCCAAAGGATTTTATATTTGATTCTGGAGGTGAGAGAGAGTCATTGTTGAGTAGGGAAGTGACATGGCCAGACCTGTACTTTAGGAAGATTCTTTTGCCAGCTGCATGGAGGATGGACTGGAGTGGCAAGAGACTTGAGAAAAGGAGATGAAAAAATCAGTAGACTTTGGTAACAAATTGGCTATGGGGAGGAGAGAGATGACACCTTGATTGTAAGTTGGGGTGATTGGGAGATTGGTAATACCCTCAACAGCAATGGAGAAGTTAAGAAGAGGGAAGGGTTTTGGAGGAAGGATTAAGTTCACTTTTCGATGTGTTTGAGTTTAAGATGTTTCCTAGACATCCATTTTGAGATGTCTAATAGACAGTTGGAGATACAATACAGGAAGTCAGCAAAGAAGTTAGGACTGGATTTTTATAATCATGAGCATAAAATAATTGAATCCATGGGACCTGATGAGATCACCAAGTAAAATGTAGAGAGAAGAGAAGAGGGCTCAAGTCAGTCCTAAGGGACACCCATGATTAATTTGGATAAAGATCCAGTACAGGAGATTGTAAAGAAGTGGTCAGATAGGAGAAGAATCTGGAGAGAGTGGTGTCCCAAAAACCTAGAAAAGATGGGTAGTGTCACAGGCTACAGAAAGGTCAAGAAGGATAAGGATTGAGAAAAGGCCATTAGATTTGGCAACTAAGAGCTCATTAGTAATTAGGAGAGGACAGTTTTGGTTGATGTTGAAGGAGAGATAATAGAGATTAGAAGTGAGTAAGAGCAAAGGAAGTGGAGACATCTACTGTAGACAGCTGTCTCAAGGAGTTTAGCCACAAAAAGGAGGAGGGATATGGGGCTATAGCTATTTGGGGGGTGAATGGATCAAGTGAGGGTTTTTGAGAATGATGAAGACGTGGTTATGTTTGTAGAGAACAGGGAAGCAGGGAGAGATTAAAGATAAGTGAGAGAGTGGGGATGATAGAGGGGCAATCTGCTGGAGGAGATTGCAATAGGATCTCTTATGTATGTACAAGGGTTTGCCTTTGACAAGAAGGGCCACCTTCTCATGAAGCAGCTAGTTGGCAGAGTGGATAGAGAGCTGGCCTTGGAGTCAGAAAGACCTGAATTCAAATGTGGCTTTCAGATTCTTGCTCTCCGTTTGACTTTGGACACGTCCTTTATAACTTCTGTGTTTCAGTTTCCTCAGTTGTAAAATGGGGATAATTATAGAACCTACCTCCTGGGGTCGTTGGGAAGATCAAATGAGGTATTTGTAAAGCACTTAGCACAGTGTAGCCCATAGTAGGTGCTTGATTCTGTTTCTGCTCACTTCACTCATTATCAATTCATAAAAATATTCCTAGGTTCTCTCACACACTGTCCTTTTTGTAATTTCTTACAGAGTAATAATCCATTACATTTATATACTGTATAATTTTTTAATCATTCCCCAGTTGATGAGCAACTACTTTGTTTTCAGTTATTTTCTATAGTAAAAAAAATGTTGCTATAAATATTTTTGTAGTCATGGGTTCCTTTATTTTTTCTTTGAACTCTTTGGAGAGGAGAGAGATTACTAGGTCAAAGGGTACAGTTTTTTGACTTAGATTATAGTTCTAAGTTGCTTTCTGGAATGATTAGATCAATTGATAGCTTCCTCTTCAATACACCAATGGAGCTCCTCTCCAGTGGTCCCATCAGCAATTGTCGTTTCCTTTTTTGTCATCTTTGTAGGTCTGATTGCTGTGAAGTTTAACTAGAGTTGTTTTAATTTAGATTTCTCTAATTATTAGTGATGTAGAGCATTTTTAATATGGATATTGATAGCTCGAGTTTCTTCCTGTGAGAACTTCCTTTTCACATCCTTTGATCATTTATTTATTGGAGAATGCTTTTGTTTTTATTTATTTATAGCAATCCCCTGTATATTTTGGATATTAGATTTTTTTTTTTGAGCAGTGGGGTTAAGTGTCTTGCCCAGGGTCACACAGCTAGTAAGTGTTATGTATCTGAGGCAGGATTTGAACTCAGGTCCTCCTGAATCTAGGGCCAGTGCTTAAATATCAGATTTTTATTGAAGAAATTTGGGGGCAGAGATTTTTCCCCTTTCCCTTGTTCTTACTGCTTTATTTTGCTTGTACAAACAACTTTTCTTTCTTTTTTAAAAAATTATTTATTTTTAGCTTTTAGCATTTACTTTTATAAGATTTTTGAGTTCTAAATTTCTCTTCCTCCCTCCTTTCCCTCCTCCCTTCCCAAGATGGCCTGCAATCTTATATAGGTTATACATGTACAATCATATTAAACATATTTCCATATTAGTCATGTTGTAAAGAAGAATCAGAACCAAAGGCAAAAACCACGAGAAAGCACACCTTTCAATACTAAACAATCATGTCCATTTAATTTCTTCTTTATTCTTTGTTTGGTTAAGTATTTTCCTTATCCATAATTGAAAGGTCTTTAATTTCTTCCTCAGATCATTTAGCTATTTAATTTGAAGAATTATATTTGGCCTGTGGTTCACCTTTGTGAGTAATAAAACAAGGAGAATAACATTAGCAGTTTCACAGAAATAACTTTATTTGACCTTCCAGTTATTAATATCAAGTGAAGCCTAAAACAGATGTGTGCTGTATGCTGACCAAAGGTGTTTACTTCTGTAATGGAATCTGTGTGGAGTTAAAATTGAAGAAGGATTTCCTGTAGAAGGTGAGGCCCTCTAGATGATTGTGGGCCAGAATCTTTGAAGATTTTGTCAAGCTCCAGAGCATTCCAGATTCTCTTAAATGAGATTCATAATTATTCGAAAAAGTTTGTCCTACCTAAAAGTAAAAACCACAATTACTGGAAAAAAATGTCTGTTTTTCAGTTGGTTGGATAACCAGTAGAGCTGATCTATCAGTATGTCTTTGAGATGTACTAGAAATGGAGAGTTATCGGGGTTCCAAATAATACACCAAGAAGAAAGAGGACAGGATTGCTTTTAGTGCCCCCAGTTTTTTCCCTAAAACTTTGGCTCTTATTGTCATACTTAAGGTGTTATTGTATGGTTCTGAGCCATAGAATGCTAGTCTGAAAGAAATTTAAATTGAAGGTCATCCAACAGGCAATGAAGAGGTGCACAGTGGATGTGAGCAAGCTACACCATGCTACAAAGAAGGAAATTATGTAGGAATATAACATAAAAGATGTCATCATAGTAATAAATGACCATATAATTGAGAGTGAGAGAACTGATGGACAGCCTTCTTGCCCCGTTAGTATCCATGTGCTGTCATGAAAATGAGAGGAAAGGCCCCCAACATATTGGGTGGATCCCCAAGATAGATTTATGGGAGAACAGGGACAGCCTTCATAGGATGAACACACATGGATAGCTTGTTATTTGCATTGATTTGCACTGTTTTAAAGAGAAGGGAAGAGAAGGAAATAAATTTATTAAATTTATTCAACGCCTTCATTGTGCCTGGATGCTGTACTAAGTGCTTTACAAACTATCTCATTTGATCTTCATAACCACCCCATGAGGTAGGTGCTATTATTATCCCCATTTTACATTTGAAGAAACTGAGGCAGACAGAGGTTAAGTGATTTGTCCCAGGTCATACAACTATTAAGTGTCTCAGTACCCACATGCAGAGATAATTACTACCAGGCTTCAGACATGAAGGTTGTCATTTAAAAATAAGGTCATAAACCAGCTTAGCCAGCTGAAGAGCTAGTGTGTGTATATTGAAATATACATGTATTTGAACTTGTGAACATCCTTTCTCTTTAGTAAAGTCAAGATAATAAACTAGTTTCTACTTTAGTGTCTGGTCACATTATTTAATACTGGTTTGGGCTAATAGAAGACTTTTATTTTAATCTTAAGGGAGTTGGGTTTCCCTTTCAAAGACAAAGGTTTGTGGGTTGGCTTTGCCTCTTATTATTTAATCTTTTAGGTAGCAGGATGAGAGTTTAAGGAAATTATTGCAACATAGTTTTGAGCTTATCTGTGGTTGTTGATGCCCCCTAATTATGCTCTCTATCCCAGCCTTTAGTTTAGGTCTTTGCTAACCACAACTTTCAGATAGCTAAATGTTGGTGGCCTGGTGTGTAAGGATTTTAAAAAAAACAAACAAATCAAAAAACTATTTGATATACATTACTTCAGTCTAGTAAAGCATTTAGCACCTTAATATTTCTCTGCAACATGTTTTTATTCCTTTTTACTGGCTTTGTTTATTTTTAGTAGACCCTGTGTAAAGGCTAATATTACAGTAATATGCAATGAAGTGGATAGAAATGGTGAAAAAGTGTGACTTTTTAGAAGAAATTTAACAGCAAAAGAGTCTCAGATTCTCCAGTTCTTTCCTCACGTTTAACCTTCCTGACTCTCCCTTTTTCCACCAGCCCCTTATGAATATTAGAATTGTCCAAAAATTAAATAGGCTGCCTTGATAGAGAGTTTTTTATGACTGGAGGTATTTGTGCAAATAACTAAATACCCACTTTTTAGTGGTTTAGTTGTTGCAAAGGTTTAACTAGATAACTCTAAGGTTGTATGATTCTCCATAGTAAACTTTTATATTGGCGTTTCCATTTTTATCAGTGGGCTCTTACTAACTTGTTATGAATAAAGCAAAATATTTGAAATATAGGTCTGGAAACCCCATTCATTCCAATTACTAATACCTTTTTTATTTGTATATTTCTTTTCTTTTGTAGGGGCCCCCTTGTTGCTTTATGCAAATAGACGGGATTTACGACTGGTGGATGCTACCAATGGCAAAGAGAATGCTACGATTGTGGTGGGAGGTTTGGAGGATGCAGCTGCAGTGGACTTTGTTTTTGACCATGGCTTGATATACTGGAGTGATGTAAGTGAAGAAGCCATTAAACGAACAGAATTTAACAAAACCGAGAGCGTACAGAATGTAGTCGTTTCCGGATTATTATCCCCTGATGGGCTGGCCTGTGATTGGTTGGGAGAAAAATTATACTGGACAGATTCTGAAACTAATCGGATTGAAGTTTCTAATTTAGATGGAACTTTAAGAAAAGTTTTATTTTGGCAAGAGTTGGATCAGCCGAGAGCTATTGCCTTAGATCCTGCAAATGGGTAAGCTTTTTGTTTGATTTACAAAATCATTTTATCCCTTTAAAAAGATTTAATTTTAATAACTCAGGAGTCCTTTGATGAGTAGACTTGAACTAGCAACTTAAATTAATAGTAAACGCTTACTAATGAGTGTTACCTTAGTCTTGAATAATGGAATTTATGGTTAGGGCTGTTTGTGTTTTGCTAGTTCTTTGTGTATGTATATATTATGTAAAGTGCTTCATGAGCCTTGATGTACTACATGTTGTTCAGTTGTTTCAGTTGTGTTTCACTCTTCGTGACCCCATTTGTGGTTTTCTTGGCAGCGATGCTGGAATGGTTTCCTATTTCCTTCTCCTGCTCGTTTTACAGATGAAGAAACTAAGGCAGACAGAGTTAAGTGACTTGCCTAGGGTCACACAGCTAGTAAATGCCTGAAGTCAAATTTGAACTCAGGTTTTCCTGACTCCAGGCTCAGTGCCCTGTTCACTGTGCCACCTAGCTGCCCTGATGTGCTACATAAATGTAACCTATTATAATTGATTTTTTTCTACCTTTTTTTTTTGAGAAGGAAGTTGATGGAGAAAAATAAAGAATTAATATAGGGAATAATATTTGATTATTTGAAGGCAGAAAATGTTAAAATAATACTCTTTGTATCCTACTGCTTCTCTGTTCCAAAACACATTTCATTGTCTCTGCATAGGGAGCCATAAATGCCTATTTGATTATGATAGGGTCAATATAGTAAAGCAGAGGAACAAAAGCAATTGTTTAAATAATTTTTTGGAGTTAGTTGCTAATATACTTAGAAATTGCCAGTTTTGTGTTTATATCCTCTGCATCTAGGATGTAATGTGCCATTAATAATTAACTTGTTCATTGTTTTTTCCTTGAGTTCTGGTTGTCACAAATGCAGGAATTTCATATAGCTTTGTAATGTGCATCATGAAATTTGAAAGATATTTTATTACATAGAACCCTGTCTTAAGGTGCCTCAGCTAGGCCCTGAAATACCTCCTGGTAAACTTTTAAAAATTGAGTCATTTAGTTGCCAGTCATGCTAAATCTTCTAAGAATGGAAGGAGGGAAGTAAAGATGGACCCAAATCTGTTTGCTGTTCCTGGATTTAAATCTACAGATGAATATCCAAATTCTCGTTATTCTCCTTATTGATTTTAATGTACTGGAGAATTTTATGGTAGTCAAGGTTTACAAATATATAGACAGAAAAAAAATAAAAGATCTGTGAAGTTGGCTAAATTTCCTCATTTATATTATTGAATTGGATCACTGAATCGTCTCCAGAGTTACTTTCAGATGAATTGAAGCTATTGAGCATATTTAAATAATAGTGAGGGGGAAATGGAATAAGTCATAATCTATGCAGTTTTTCTATTGCATTGGAAACTTTTTTGGGGAAAAAGTTTAAGGAGGCCAAGAACATTTAGAGAACAGTGCTATTTGGGTGATAATATTGAAGTTGGAAGAGGTTTTGAAGTTCAGACCACAAATTTGTTGTGAAGAATAGTTTAGAACCACTGAAGGACTATGAAAAAGTATCTTCAGTCAGTTAGTGAAATTACTTTATGCCAGTGACTGTACTAAACATGGATTACAAAGACAAAATAGAAACAGTAAAGGAACTTCCATTCTATCGATGGAGAAGATGTGAACATACACAAGTATATACAAAGTAAATGCAAAGTACAATGAGGTCCAAATTAGGGTGAATAATGGGTCACCTGAAGTGGTAATGTGTATTTGAATTTGTATTATTTGAAATTATAAATTATTTAAGATTTGATAATTCATTCCTGCCCAGTGGAAAATATGCAGTGCAAAGAATTCAGTATTTTCACCGATTGGGACCCAGCTATAAATATGGTCTTATTTTGAGAGGGGTGTATTGGAGAGTGTTAGCATGTAGGAGCTGGTGCTTGGGTAGTTTTATGTGATGCACATAACATCAGTTTGATTGGACCATAGATTGCATGCAGGGGAGTAATCTGGCTGAAAAGATAGAATGGGGACAGGTTGTGAAGGGCTTTAAATGCCAGATCGAGGAATTTATCCAGCCCTAACTTCTGTTCTAATGTCCAGTCTTGTATCACCAACTGCCTGTTAGACATCTTGAACTGGACATAGGTACCTCAAACTCAATATGTCCAAAACAGACCACATTGTCTTTTACCCCAGACCTTCCCTTAATAAATTCTAGCCTGTTACTGTCAAGGATACAGTTCTCCCAGCCACCCAGGTTTACCCATCCCATATATCCAGTCTGTTGCTAAGTCCTGTTATTTTCACCTTGCCACAGCTCTCATATACACTTCCTTCTCTATGCAGCCGCTCTGGTTGCAGGCCTTCATCATTTCACGCCTGGACTACTGCAGTAACTTTCTGGTTAGACTGACTTCCTCAAATCTTTCCTTACTTCAGCCCATCCTCCACTCAGCTGCCAAAGTGATTTTCCTAAATTGTAGGTCTGATCATAACCTGGCTCCTTGTCCAACCTTCCTACAATTTACTCCCTTCCACACATTGTGAGATCCAACACTGGACTTTTTGTTTTTTTCTTACTATCTTTTCGCAGGCTGTACCCCATCCTGGAGTGCTCTGCTTTTTGACTTCCTTTTTTTCTTTTTTGAAATATGGCATTTGACTTTATTCTTGACAGTGTTCAGGTATGGAGGCACATTAAAAGTTACCTAAACTTGTAATAAGGAGCTTGGTGAGAGAGAGCCTGGAGCTCTCTGCTAGCTGTGCCGTAAGTGCTTGTGAGGTATTTGCAAGGTGCATGATAGTAATGCTCTGAGTTTTTATAATTTTGAATTTCTTTTTTAATGGAAGTGTTTTGTACATTTCTTTTCAAAAAGTGCCAAATTGGTCAGCATTGCATGTAAATAATTGTTGATTCTTTTACTGTAGCATAGACTCTGTTCTCTTTACAAAATGTTTGTTTATAAAGTTTTATGGATTTTTACAGTGAAGTGTTTACAGCTGTTTAATAAAGAACTGTCTGTATATTTTGTATTGATTTTTGTTTTGTGAATCTTTAAATATCTGCCCCTCTTTATTGTTCTCTTAGGCCAGGAGCTCTCATGTCATACACTTAAAATAACTCTGCTTAGATTTCCCCCCCTTTACCTACCTACTAAGTAGCATATTTGTTTTTTAAAGGGTAGTTGACTCTTTACTAAACAATAGGGTGTAATAAACTTTACCTTTAGTTCTGACAATGTATGTCACAACTGGCCCAGTCTGGAACATGGAGAAAATTTATTGTGAGCATCTCTTTGGACTTGTGTCCTTATGTGTGGTAAAAACTTCATTCTTCCCAAAGACGAGTCCACGCTGAATCTACCAAATCCCTATGATTCATGGCCATTCATTTAATTTATATGGCATATAAATATAAATAAATAAGTAAATATATATATATATAAATATATATATATAAATATAAATAAGTAAATATATATATAAAAAATCTCCTGCCCTAAAGCCTTCATGTGTCATTCTGGATTTTTCTGTTCCCTCAAAGTGCTATGTGGTCACTATTTTCCCAGATTACTAGGCAATCTACATTTAAACTATAGACTTCCTTTCTAACTTGCATAGGAAGTAAGTAGACATAAAACATACTCTGCACCCTGATTTACCTGTTCCCAGCCCATTAAAAAAATTGCTTACAACTCAAGATACTATGTCGTGAGATCTATCTATCTGTCTAGCCTGACTCTCCTCTCTTCCTTTTAAATTAAATCTACAAAGCAGCAGATTGTTACTGTGCAAAAATAAATATCTGTATAACTCAATTCAAAAGCATCCTATAATCCAGAAACGCTTTGTGATCAGAAACAATGGTAATGGGTTTCCCTCCCTTTTTGGGATTTTGTTGATTCTAATCTATGAAGAGTTTATTTGTGGCATAATTGTGTTTAAGCATATATCACACTTGACAGTATAAGAAAACATTATCGCCCATCTTATTCAGCCTTCAGACTGCCCCTTCACACACTGGATCCACCCTGTCTCAACATAAATCACAACACACAGATTTGAGCATAGTGGCCCCTCCCTCACATGGTGCTACAGTAACAAAATAGCTCTGGCCCAATTATTCCAATCCTAATCCTCATTTAGGAAAAACTCTACCTTCCAAGGCAGCAACTTAAAACAGCTTGTTTAATATAATAGTGGTTCAGAAGTGTTATATCTTCGTGGTCCAGATGTCCAATATGCACTTGGACTCCATTTCTCTGATACTTTTGCCAGCTGATCCAAAAATGGATCAGTGATAATCACATGCTGAAAAAGTGAGTTCCTGTCTGAATCACTCTAATCCTGTGTCTGTCTTGCTGGGGGAACATGTCTATAATATACTCTAATTTCTGAAAAACAAAATGCACAATACAGGGAAAGTATGTTAAAGAAAATCTCTACATAAAAGTGACTACTGCTAGGTTTTTTTGTTTTGTTTTTGTTTTTTGCTTTTAGGCAATTGGGGTTAGGTGACTTGCCCAGGGTCACATAGCTAGTAAGTGTCAAGTGTTTGGTCGGAGGCTGGATTTGAACTGAGGTCCTCCTGACTTCAGGGTCGGTGCTCTATCCACTGCACCACCTAGCTGCCCCATGCTGCTAGGTTTTAAGAAACTGCTGATGCTACTACAAAGTATGACAGTGTCATCTATGAGCCTTTGTCCTTAGAAGGATACTTGCAGTGAGAAGATGACAAGTAATACCACCTTTTAAGCAAGAATAGTTTGACTTCCTTTAAGGCTGGAATCAAATTCCACCTTCTGCAACAGGCCTTTCTTCTCAGGCTAGAGTGCCTCTTTGACCTGGGACAAGGAGCTAGGTCTTTTTATTTTTAACCCCCTCCTTGGTGATCTAACTTATGTGGTTAGAGTTTGTTTAGTTTATGACTAATCCCTCCCTCAACTTCCTCTTCTCTCTTATCCTTCCTTCCTTGTTTCCTCCTGGTTCTCTGATGAGTGAAATTTATTCCTGTACCT